CACATGTGTAAAAATGATGTAATTTAAATGTATTCTATTTCAACATTCTGCTCGTTGAAATTGTTTAGCATCCCATGTTTCCTTGAAGCTGTTTTTGATGTTATTTCTTAATATGTTCCAAACTTGTCTTATATCTACTTCCTTCATATTACAAGAATATGCCATTTGTTAGAAGTTAAAAATCATTTTGGAAATATCTGCATGTCGACGGGAAGCAAATATTTTTCCCTTTGTGGATGGCAATGTGGGTGAACTGTTTAAAAAAAATGTACACGGGTGGCTGAGGAGAATTACTTAGCTCTGGGGAATAAGGGAAGCTAAGTGTGTTTGCTTGGAGGTTTATAGTGAGCTCACAAAAGCTTATATCAGTTAATCTTTACTATAAGGGGTCGTTTGGTAGGAGGTATTAGAAAAAATAATGCAAGCATTAGCAGAGGCGGATCCAGGATTTTATGTTTATGGGTTCCTGTCGCAATTTCAAATTAATATACGATAATAACTGGGTTCACAAATAGATATTTATAGATATTGAATAATTTTTTTAACAAAAATACAGGGTCTACGCAAAAGTTACTGGGTTCCCGGGAACCCGTATCTTACACCCTAGATCCGCCCCTGAGCATTAGCTCTATGCATTACTAATACCTTGTTTGATACATATTTTCAACTTGTGTATAACTAATACTTGTATTAGTTATACATCATACTTGGCATTATCCTATGCATAAGTACTGCATAGAAAACCATGGCATTAGTAATACCAAGGCTTTAACGCATGCATTAGCATGGTTAAAGACAAAATTGTCCTTAAAGTCCCATAAAGCTAGAGAATATGGAGGGCCATTTTTGTAAGCAACTATTTTTCTTAAAAATTATGCAATGCATTATAATTTTAATACACCACACCAAACAATAGATAAGAAATAATATTTGCATAACTAATGCTTGCATTACTAACACATGCATTACTAATACACCTTATTCCGCACTATTCTCATACACCCTACCAAACGACCCCTAAGTGTCTGCTTTAGGTTCTAGTGGTTTTTGGTATGAGCCTATCTGTTACTTCACTTTCTGGTGATTCTGGTTTAAGCCTGTCTGTTGCTTCACTTTCTTACTCAGTAGTTGAATTCATTGTTCCTGCAAGGTGATCTTGCCCAAAATCTCTGAAGTTCTTGATTAGCAGATTATTGTTTCTATAGTCTTCACTGACATAATGTCATCTTTACATCCTTTAAAACCAGACCTTAATTTTATAGAATGGACAACTCGAGGTGGAGTATATACCTTTGCGGTTTATGGCTTTTTCATTGATGTGCTTCTTTGAATTGAGTCGTTCATGGTATCAAGCACTGGTAGCCTGTATTTACCTTCAATCTCGAAAATCATTCCACTGATGAATAATATTAGCTTTTCTATACCAGGTTGCAGACTCACTTGAGAAAGGCACCGAACATGAAGATGAATATATGATTAGCGAGAAGGAGCTCCTTGTCAATAGGTAATATTTACTGAGTCATTCTGAATGCTTGTTATCATATCTACTTGCGGGTCTCTCTCAAATTTGATTTGTAGCTAATTTGCACTTTGCATTCTAGATTTGTTTCTATTCCAAAAGATAGGGGTGCTCTCAGTTGTGGAGCTTTTGTTGCTGGAATTGTAAGGGTAAGAAAACCATCTGACTTTGCTTTAACAGCAATGCACTAGAGCTGTTCTTTTACAAGTAGGCAAAAGAAATTTTTGATTGAACAAGCAGTACCAAGAAATGCTGGGAAGGTACAAAAGATGCAGCAGAGTCAGCTCTTATCTATTCCTTTAGTGAAGATGTCTTAGAGCTATTATTTATCTTCTTTCTTTTTTCTTTGAAGGGTGTGCTGGAAAATGCAGGTTTCCCAGCTGTGGTGACAGCACATTTTGTTCCTGTGGAGGGGCAGCAGCGACCACGGACAACCATTTTGATAAAGTTTGCTGAAGAGGTAATCACTTTGTATACGGGTATTTTTGCCCATTATTAATAATATTTTCTTGATTAAAAAAAAGGATCTTTTAGTTCAAATACAGTTGTTTGGAGCTGTTCTGAGTTTCTAGTTCTATGTTTTTCACAAAAAGCCAAGCCTGGCTATTTAAAGAGTGACGTTCAACCATGATTACTTAAGTAGGAAGCCATTGAAGTCTCACCATGTACATCGTAAACTTAATTTCTATATTTTCTTACTATTTACAAAATAAGGTTTACTGGAAGTTCTGTCCTTGAAAATCTTACGAGGAACTCTGGTGCTATGTTGGCTTGTGCAGGTACTAAGGAGGGAAGCCAGGCTAGGTTAATGTTTATTTGGAAGTCATCATAATTGGTCCAAAATTCTTTAACCACCTAACGATGAGATGACAAGAGGATGATCGCCGTACTCATAATTAAAAATTTGAATCCTAAGATCCAATTGACTCTTGTGGTACTTTTACCCATCTGATGCTACTGTATCAGACGGGAACAAGTACAGTTCATTTTGGTGTGAAATATTGTTAGTTTGAGAATATGTTGTGAATCTATGTAGTTGATGATCTGTGGGTGCAAATTACCAAATGCAAGTTTGAATGATCGGGATTGTTTGATCCGTCCTCATTCACCCTTCTTCTTACTTCTTTGCTGCTGACTTGTATAGAAGCTCCTAAGCTTCCCTCCTTGTTCTTCTTTATTCAGTAACATGTAGGCTTACTTAGAATATATGCACTTAAAAATATGCTATCAACTGTCACAACAGAATTTCGAGTGCTGCACCTATTGAACATTTTAATGCCACAACCATCTTGTGGTAAAGGTCTTTCTATATATGCATATGCATACTAAACAGAACATCAAGCTAAGTCAAGAATGCACATTTCAAATCTTTTTCTTTTTTACAAGTTGGAGTGCTGAAAGGCGGATGTTAGAGAGCGAATAAATACTGAAATTTTGGGTTAAATTTTAATGGGATGGTAGGCCAACAAAAGTAGGACAGTGGTCTTGCTCCGATTGAAGTAAATGCCCTTGTTCTGCATACAAGCGATAGTTTGAACTATTGCACATGCTTTTGGTGCATCCAATGTGGGGTCTCGGTATGTGGCTACGTAGTGACAAGATTCTTTTGCTGTTTGAAAGATGTTCAGGTGTCATGGATACTAAAGGAGTTACTATTGGAGCAAGGAAGAATATTAGCTAAGGCAGATGGCGCTAGGAGAAAACATTAGGCTTTTAACATGTACAATGTTCAAAGGAGGTATAGCATACGAACTTGCCAACTCCTGATCATATATACAGATTTCTTCAACTTTATGGAAGAGGGTTCCAATTTTTGGGCAAGGTGTTAGTAAGAGCTTAGAAAGTGATTTTTTAAGGGTCACTGTCGCAGTGACCTTTCAAATGGCATGCAAAGCAACTCATCCAAGTTGCCAAAATTATCATAGTGGATATATCAAGCATCAACCATCTTTACTTGCTAATTTAATACGGTTTTGGTTTGGCCAGCAGACGTATTTGGGAGGAGATATCCATGAAATACAGAGATTGTAGAACTGAAGTGAAATCGCATGATTACACAGTTTTAAGCATTCAAAAGTACTAATAGAAAGGTCCAGGCAGCAGAAACAGGTTAAAATTTCACCTACTAGTTTCTTTCTGCTCATGGTTCTGAAGACATTAAGTACACGGACCTTCAATCTACAGCTAATTATACAGACACCTAGACATAAGGTTACAGGTACGCTTTAATGGATGCAAAACACCCAATACTTCAACACAAGGGCACCTTGGTTAAGCAACAGAGGTGGAGGTTCAAAGGAGGGCTTGGGGATCGCAGGGGATGTCGGTGCACAAAAGTATGAAGGAGAAGGCAAACAGTAACTAGAACTAGTCTACTTTTACTATTAATGTACAATGTAACATGTGCTCCCTATTCCAAAGGGATTTACTGCCTGGGTGCTGCTGGTGTTGTCTGCTGATGGGTCTGTCCATAGAATCCAATACCAGGAGGACGATAAAATCCACCATTGGCAGGCTGCTGTTGAGATTGTGGCTGCTGAGTCTGCAGTAGCTGCTGTTGTGCTTGCTGGGATAGTGGTGGAGGTGGCCTCAGTCCCATTGCAATTTGAGGTGGCTGAAGGCTGCCGGCACTATATCCATAGGGCATCATCCCCATCATCATAGCTGCAGACTGACCTAACTGACTTCCAGGGGAATTTGCTGGAGGTAAAGGTGGTGGTGGAGGTGGTGGTGGTGGAAACGGAGCTTGTATCTGGTTTGACGATTGCAAGCCTGAGGAAGGGGCAAGAGGAATGCTAGTAATCGGTTGCTGTGATGAAGTGAAGTAAGTGGAATTACCCCCTTCGGAACTGTTCATATCAGAAAAAGTCATTGGCTTGTCTAACTTGAGCCGTTTCTCTGGAGATGCAAAAGGTAAGCTAGAAGAGAAACCAGTTGATTTCAATCCACTGCTCAGTGACGCAGCTTCTTCAGCAACAAGAGACGAAAGAACAGAGGTCAACATTTGAGCAGAAGATGTTGAAGCAGCAAGTTTTGCAGCAAGAGCTGCTGCCGCCCTTTTGCTTTCCTCTTCATTAGTTTTGGAATTTGCAAAAGAAGTCAAAGGATTGGGAGGTGGAGGCAAAGGAGGCATGTTGGGTAATTGCAGTGAAGGCGGGGTTGGTTCAGTTGCTCTTGTAGCATCAACTGGAAGGATACCAGTACTCAATGGTGGAGCAGCAACACTGGGAGATGTCAGCCTGTGTCTTACATTTTTTGCTAGTTCGATCTGACCACGTGCAACCTGCAAGTCAACCAGCTGTGTCAATCCCAATCCCATCAAGGAACTAACATTAGTTTGTATGTTATCTAAGGAAACAGAAATACCATAGGAAAAGACATTTAAAGAATCAAGGAGCACGTTAACACATATTTTCACCTTTAGAATAGGATTGCAGCAAACTAAAATTCCAGAGAAAATAAAGATGGAATCATAATAAAAGTTCTCATATTATATAAACTATCCAATGATTACATCTTTGCAGATGATTAAAATTCAGGGTCAAAAGATGGAGATATGGTAGTTTTAAGACTACTTTGAATCGAACTAGTTGAACGACAATGCTCAAAGGACTAGAGAAACCCAAAGATTTCAAACTATAAGAACTCAAATATGCACAGCTTACACATAAAGGAAGAGAGACGTGCCTGTTCTCCTTAACGTGGAAGAAAATGATAGAGGTAGCACAAGTACTCTTTTCTTTTGAGTATATTTGGAATCCCACTAATACATGAACCAAAACCAACCAGTGCAGAAGAATACAATCAACAGAAAAACACAATCATGTTGTGGTTTATTGGAATCCCACTAATGATCAAGTGTGCAAGCACACCAATGCCAAGCATTCAAACATGTCACTAGCAGGAACAAGCTTACATTTTTTTTTGGGACAACCGTGGTATCCAGGCTAGCTTGCGCGCACCTCGACTAATTCCAAGGGATACCTGCCACCTCCCACCAGCAACAGGTATCGGGTAACTCTATCCACCAAGGCTTAGATAGATGGGAAGAAATCGCCTAGTGTTTTTGCCTCCGCTGGGATTTTAACCTGAGACCTCATGGTTCGCACCCACTTCATTGACCACTAGGTCACACCCTTGGGTGCAGGAACAAGCTTACATTCAATGATAGTAGGTCGGCAGAATCAGCCTTGTCTGCAATGGCAATGCTAGCAATCTGAATATATGCTACTGCTGAAGCGTCCAACATTCAATGATAATAGGTCGAGAGAATCAGAGGGTGTTCGGATTGGCATATTTTAAGTGCTTATTGACCATTGCTTTTTGATCAGAGGGTGTTTGGACAGACATCACAACCACTACTTTCACCCTGTTTGAAACGAATAGGACATTGCTTTTTGATCCCTCTCAAGTCACTCTTCTGAGGACACAAACCAAATATTTTAACGGCCCGTTTGGTTAGGTATACAAGGAGAATTAATCTCAGCATACAATTCAACATAAATTGTACGAGTCCCTGACTTTAATCTCCACATAGAATTCAGCATTGCTAATACTTAGTTTGGTTAACAATTTACTGTTCCTCTTTAGTAATACCAGCATAAGTTATGCAGAATCTATGTATTATATCATGCGGGAGAAACAATGTGGAATAAGGATAGGTGTATTAGCAATATATGGATCAAAATAACTAAAATGACAAAATTGCCCTTATATCATTCAGACTAATCTTCTTTTCCCTAAAAAAACATGCCACGCTATACTTTGTATAGTTTGTTTGGATTCTTCAATAACTCTAGGAGCAAATTTCTTGATTGTTTCTATTTTTCTTTTAAATGTTACACGTCTAAGACTAATTTGGTTTTCTTTTATTTCAGGTTACTCTAAAACCAGAGTACAGCAAAAGATTTACTCAACTAAAAAAATTCCTTTTAGTAATTAGTAGTACATGGTTTTATGATATTATGACTCCTTTAGATAGCTGTCATTGACTTCCACATTGCATCATATAAAATATTGTATCCATCATGATATTAAAATGTTTAATTCCACAAATATAGTTTCAGTGAGTAGACAAAGATTTTTAAACTAAAATGTACAAAGATAAAGGTCAAGGCTATAATAGCAAACACACTTAAATTTTATTGTAAAAATTAAAGCAATATATTAAATTCTATTTCGTATACTAGTAAGTTTTAATATAACAAACCAAACATCATGAGGAATAACCAATCCATCACAATTCCTACATTTCTACTCCCTACATTACAAGGAAGAATTTTTTGGAAATTATATTTTTTGGGTTTGTTTTGGAAAAACGAAGAATTTGATTACAAATTGCACTCAGGAGGAGTGCAACTCATAGATAAGAGCTCAATACAGATACAAAGAGACCCAAAAGATAGAAAAATTGTCATAAATACGCTCATCTCGCAATCTGGCACCAAAAGCACCACCCTAACTGGCCCCAGAATGAACCACCCTAAGTGACCCAAAAGCAAACAAAGACCTAACGAAATGATTCAGCTCATTGATTTCCTTTTGGAAAAGCCTCATGTTGAGTAGTCTGGCCACCTCATTTAAAAGCTTAATTTGTTAGAGATAGCACACTTTTAGTCAACTAACTATGTCTAAGCTTATTCTGTTAGAAATAACACACTTAAATTAATTAATTACGTCTTCAACACGCCCTCTGATGTACCGGACTCATTTTGTTAGGGCCAAGCATGTGAAATTCTTATTCAATTAAACTCGAGATTTCTGGATGCTCTAATACCACAATGGATAGCATGACCATCTAATCTAAGAA